TGCTGCCAGGCCAGCCTCACTCCTGACCAAGCAAGGACAGGGTGGTGCCATCCCAACAGAGCATGGCCTGGCCAGTGATGCAAGGGGGTTGTCCTGGCTTTCTGTTGTCATCATGGAGGATGAAGGAGAGACTTGTATGGCTGTAGCTGGTAAGGTCAGTTGGCATCCTGCCACCCAACAGTAGGGACAGTCCAGAGCAATTTGGTCTTCTTGTCATATAAGCAACAAGAACCAGGCCAGAGTTTATTGTCAGAGCCAGGGCAAGGTGGGACCCTACTGTTCCTTTTTCATAGTTATTTATCTAGGAGGCCTGGCTGGCTACATTGGTAGCACTCAGGTAGAATAGAGGGCAGTCCAGCAGCTCCCTCTTCTAATGAGCCACCACCAGTGTTCCCTCTAAGCTGAGTTAGTGTGAGCTAGCTCACAGTATTTTAGCCTCCGGCTCACACATTTTTGTCTTAGCTCATGAAGGAAGGCTCCAGAGTAAACTAATTTATGCAGTAGCCAAGTCGCTCGCTCACAACTTTGATGCCAGTCGCTCACAAAGTGGAATTTTTGCTCACAAGACTCCGCGGCTTAGAGGGAACATTGGCCACCACAGTGATACAGAAGCCCTGTTGCACAGTCCCAGTGAATGCCCGTACCATCTGTGTACACTGTGCAATGGATTTTTCTCTATATGTAAATGTATAAATTCAATTTTTAAAATGCCCTCCCCATATTTGGGGCTCATGTTACATTCTCATGTTACATTCATCACATGCACAACCAGGGGTCGTTTCGTAGAAAAAGAGCTAGGGGAACTCATTAGCATAACTAATTAGCATATGCCACACACCCTGACATCACCGGAAGTGTGTCATGAGGCCACACACCCCTGACATCACTGGAAGTGTGTCATAAGGCCACACCCACCACTCAGTCTTAGTCTTAAAGGTTAGTCTTAAAGGTGCTATTTGTTAGTCTTAAAGGTGCTATTTGAACTCTTGGACTATTTTGCAGCAACAGACTAACACAGCTACCTCGGGGAAGCTCCTGGATGGGGCTGGGAGTCCTTGCGGAGGCCACGTGGAGTGGCCTCGGCCAGGCAGAGGGGGAGGACGCCAACTTACCCTCCTGCTTCTTCCTCCTTCTGCAACAGAATGAGGCTGGAAGAAGGGGGCGGCCGGAAGAAGGGGCGGGGCTTCGTCGTGTGCCCCGCCCCCTGCACCTCACCCGGGAGAACTGCGATCCCCCCCCCGAAATGACCTCTGTGCACAACCACATGAATTCAGGTACTAATATCCTGTTTCATTTGTAAAGTCAATGTGCATTGGCTCTTTCTTACAAACAGATGTATACATGTACATGTAGGTAGTACGTGCATTCACTGTAATGTGTGAACAGACTACAGGAGAAGGTGGCTACATTTCCTGAGGCTTCAGTTCCTGACCCGACACTTTGCTTGCTATGGCTAATTTCAAGAATACAGAGACAGAATCAAGGCTAACCAAGACCTAGACCTCAAACCCAATTCATTGTCAGAACTCCAGGGTCTCGTCACTCATGATCAAATTCCAAGACCTTACAGCAATTAGTCTAACATTCACCATGCATTATTTTGTCTTGCCTAAGAGTCCTACAAATGTATAAACTTCTATGTATTTGTGCCCTGAGAAACCACAATTAGACAAGTTTCATTTCAAAAAATGCTCTAGTCTAGTTTAGAAAAAGTGAGTAGTGAACTGCTACTCACCACAGGGAAATCTTAATGAAATGAAAAGGCAGCAATCATAAAACCAACATGACATATCTGTGACACAATATAATGTGTGGAACTTCTTGCCACAGGGTTTTTAGTCTGATACTATTACAGGATTCAAAAGCAAGATTTGATATCTAAATGAAAGAAAACCAATTAGCTAAAAGGATTGCGTTACACAGAAAATAGTTGTACACGTTTTGCCAGGGGCGATGTAGCAACAGGGTTACTGCAGGTTTCTGGCCTGTGTAAAGTACTGTTGAACACATCCATCAATAACTTGGAACAGAAAACTAAAATAAGGAACACAGGGAAATACAAAAGGACCCCAGGGACCGATCTAGTCCAGCATCCTGTTTCCCACAGTGGCCAAGCAGATGCTCCAAAGCAGGGGCACAGAGACCAAGGACTCTCCCTGCTGCTGCCCCCAGCAATTGGTATACAAATTTACATCCAAGTGATATTCAGGAAGGACTGTACCCTTTTTAGAAGAGAGAGTCATAATTTAAAATTGTGGTTGATTGTTGTTGTTTTTTTTACTATGCCTATTCTGGATTGCATCTACTATGGACTGTTCTCTCAATGCATTTGCCTTGCAAAAGTATTCCAATTTGTGTTGCTTTGATTTCCACTTGCCCTGTGCTGCCTTCACCTGCCAGGGTGGCCCTTCCCCGCAGCCTCTAGTAGTGGATATACGGTGCCATTTAGGATAGCAGAGTGGGAGACTGGCATCTTTGACCTGGAGCAACATCCACCAGAAGGTTCTTCTCTGCCAGAAGCATCGAAATTACAGATCAATGCAAAAGAATGGTAGTGCTCTTGTAGATGTCTCATTCATTCCCATCAGGCCTGTGCAGGAGAACTGTACGCGAGGATGCAGTTTGGATTTCCCACCGGAGGCACTAATATGCCTTTGCTCCTAAAATCACTTTTACCCCACATTAAACAAGCATTGCATTCTCATTACTTTGAAACACATGTGCCGTAAGGGTGTCATGTAGAAAAGAGAAGGTATCAAGCAAGATCGAATTGACATCTGATTCATTCTGAAAGTGACTGCATACTTAATGATTTCAAAAGCACTGGGCTGAAGGGCAATAAGGAGAAAATAAGCTAAGCCACTCAGGGAACTGCAGGAAATGGGTATGTTTGGTGGCCAGTTCTTTAACTGAACAGCAGGCAGAGGATGTGGATCAGCAAATCAGCTTTGCATGGAGAAGGACCCAGGCTTAATCTCTGGCATCTCTAGTTAAAAGGCTAAAGTAGTAGATGATGTGACGCACCTCTGCCTGAGACTTTGAAGAGCTGCTGTCAGTCAGAATAGACAATACCTTGACAGAACAATGGTCTGACCCAGTATACGACAGTTTGATGTGTTCAGCATGTTTAACACATGATAGGCACAAAAGAGCAATACAGTTTGTTTCATTGTTCTTTTTGGAGTTTTCCAGTTTTGGGAAATAGATGTATATTCACAACTCACCTCTGATCTGTGATCAGGTTTGCTAAATGCCAGCTAGGAATACTCCTGGGCTTACAAACTCATCACCCAGGGTTGCCAGCCTCCAGGTGGGGCCTGGAGATCTCCCGCTTTCACAACTGATCTTCAGCTGACAGATATCAGCTCCTCTGGAGAAAATGGCTACTTTGAAGGGTGGTGTCTAGGGCATTGTACCCTGCTGAGGCCCCTCCCCTCCCCAAACCCCACCTTCTCCTGGATCAACCCCCAAAGTCTCCAGGTATTTTCCAACCCAGACCTGGCAACCCTATCATCACCCAAGGGAATTGCCCTGGGTTATCTCTCTGTTTCTCTACAAATGACAATGCTTTTAAAGCAACATGTTGCTACTGTAGTGGCCTCAAGAGAATTGCCCTGGGTTATCTCTCGGTTTCTCTACAAATGACAATAAAGCAACATGTTGCTACTGTAGTGGCCTAACAGTGGTGGATAGTGGCAGTGGCTAGCAGTGTTTTTTCAAACATTAGGCTAGACTATTTCCACTTATAAGGGCTTGTCCACATGGTCTGGTCTCGTTTTCCACAGACCCCACTAATTCAACACTGCAACTATATTAAGGCCATGCTTGCTCCCACACCATTGTTTGCCAGTTATCACAGTAATGATGGTGCTAACATAATGGGCAAGTCTGCACATTTGCATTTATGATGCTTTTAGATGATTCTGCCACAGCTCACTGTACATGTTTTTGTGGCTCCTGCTACTAACAGTAAAGCCTCAAAAGGCAGGGGAGTTTGGGAAAGCAGCCAACTTGTTCCATCAAGATGCATGATCCTCTGCACCTTCAGAAATGAGAGCAGGAACGTTCAAAACTGAGATTGCTTAGGAAACATAAGATAGAAAGATAACTCCAAGATCTATGTGTCCCATCAAGACTTCAGGAACTTCAGGATTTAGAAAGAGGTGCAGAATGTTCTGTCAGTATTGGATTTAAAAGCAAAAGCAAGCTTCTCTCTCTTTATGGAGCTGTTTCTGTGTGCTCAGTGGAAAAGGTAATCCAAATTCTTCACTCAGAGTAGCCAAATATAGGTCAAATTTGCATACATTTGCTTATCTTTTATGATTTATTCTGCTTTTGATAGCCTGAGGGGTAAGCAATTATGCAAAACACTGAAGCTCCCCTATCAGATCACTTAACTCCCTCTGTCCCTCTCTGGCTTTTTAGAAATGCCAAGCAGTAATGATGCATTTTCCTGTTGATCTCTGAACCATGAGGACCAGAAACATGATTTTGTTAAAACAGTGAAAGTTAAGATTATCAGGATATTGCATTCCATACTGAATATGAAATCCCTTATTTGTACACTGCAGTCACAGAAGTGGATCCTGCCTATGGGTGATAGTTCTCTAGGACACATCTCCATTTGCTGCCAGTGCCTACAGTGCCTGCTTTCAATATGACAGGAGAGCATGAGGACAAAAAGATAGATGCTTCTGCAATAAAATAGCAATGGAAAGAAAGTGAGAACAATAAAAAAGAAGAGGGGGAAATTGCAAAAGAAGACTGCAGAGGAGGAAAAAAATAGAGTGCAAAAAAACCGAAAACAGCACAGAAAAATCAGGAAAATTCAACAGTATCTACTGCATCATAATATCAGCGAGTCACTATGTCAGATGCAGGGTTATATGGACTGCATTTTCTCACAAACCAGAGATATTTCATCACATGTGTACCTTGGAAACAAATGTAGACATGCCAGTCATTTCCACTCCCTTTTCCCCACGCTCCATCTCCATTACCTTCTCTGCTGACTGTGATGTCCCGAAGAAGATGGGAATGAAGGCTAACCAGACGATGCAGGTGGTGTACATGGTGAACCCAATGGGCTTGGCTTCATTAAAGGTCTCAGGAACCCCCCGGGTCTTTATAGCATACACAGTGCAGGTCACCATGAGCAGCATGCTGTACCCAAGCAAACAGATGAGGGACAGGTCTGAAATGTCACACTTGAGGACTCCCCGGGCAAAACGGGGGTCTGTAGTCCGCTGGTCCTCATAGTCGATGATGGAGTGTGAGGGATCCACAATGAACCAGATGCAGACCCCCACGAGCTGCAGGGAGATGAGGCTGAAGGTGATGACCAATTGGGAAGCAGGACTGATGAAGCGAGGGGCGCTGACCGACTTTTTGCCCTGTTCAAAGATGCGATAGATGCGGTTGGTTTTAGTCAGCAAGGCAGCATAGCTGATGCTCATGCCCAGCCCCAAGAAGACACGCCGCAGGGAGCAGGTGCCCATGTCAGGCCCAGCAATCATCAGAAAGGTGGTGGCATAACAGAGGAAGATGCCCGTCAGCAGCACGTAGCTGAGCTCTCGCCCCGAGGCCTTGACGATGGGCGTGTCATTATAGCGCACAAAGGTCACCACAACAAAGAGAGTGGCGATGATGCCTACAATGGCAATGAAAACTGGCACCACGGCCCAAGGGGAGCCCCATTCTAGCTTGACAATGGGAATGGGGATGCACCCTGTGTGGTTCTCATTGGGCCGCTCATTGAAGCGGCACACCTTGCAGTGGAACTCATCGTACTGATACTGGTATCCGTCACAGCGCTCACAATGCCAGCAGCATGGGATACCTTTCACCAGTTTCTTCCTTTCTCCTGGCTTGCATGGCTGGCTGCAGATTGAGGTGGGCACCTGGTTGCCTCCTCCAGGCCAATGCAGGCGCTCCATCTGCAGTAGAAACAGAAAGAATTTTATTAGCAGATATGATCTCGGCACAGTAGAATCAAGGGCTGGATCAGACCAGCATGTCCCACAGACTTTGATAGAATGCTGGCTTCTAACTCAGACACTTCTAACTCAGACACTCAGACACTTCCCAATCACGCTGGCACTGCTCTGTTCATTTTAGCAGTGGCCCTTGGTGACTTAGGCCTCAGTCCTAGATAATTTTATTTAGTCCCCACTAAATAAAATGGGACTTCAGACTAGACCAGCTTAGGCTTGCTCCCTTAGTCTCTCCCTCCTTCAGCTCTGCAGCACCCCTGCTCATTTTAATGTAGTCTCTCTCTACTCTGCAATATTCTTTGCAAGAGCTCCTGCTAATGAGCTTTACTCCCAAAGTGACCTCACTAAACTACACGGACTTGATTAGCAGGAACCCACCTCCTAAGAGGATTGTCGCAAGTCTTGTTCTCAGGGACCTTACCCACAGGGAGATGAGCACTGGCCAGAGATGGGCATGCTCCCTGAATGAAGAATGCCCTCTCCTGCATGCTGTTCTGGAGTCTATTTTATTGGGTTTTAGGCTGCGGTGGCTCAAGTGGTTAAGACGCTGAACTGCAGGCTGTGGAAGGTCAGTAGTTCAGCAGTTTGAGACCCGGGTGCCGCATGATGGAGTGAGCTCCCATCTCTAGTTCCAGCTCCTGCCAACCTAGCAGTTCGAAAGCAAGAAATTGCAAGTAGATAAATAGGTACCACTTCGGTGGGAAGGTAACAGCGTTCCCTGCGCCTTGGTGTTTAGTCATGCCGGCCACATGACCACGGAAACGTCTTCGGACAGCGCTGGCTCTTCGGCTTTGAAACAAACCCCCCCCCCTTTTGGTATTTGTACCCCACTCTTTACAGCCTGCCTGCTGTCAATATTTATGTTGTGCTGCTGATTTTTATTGATTGTTGTTTTCATTGCTGATCATTTTAGTATCTGGAATGTCTTTGTTTTAAATTAACCGCATTTATTTTGTTTCCCTTTTCTGGTTGCCTTGGGAAGATTTTGGAAATATGGGATAGAAGTATTCTAAATAAATACCTACAATAAGGCTGCGAACATATACACAATTAGACCCAACAAAGGTGCGAATGCCGGGCAGATTTAAAGGGCACGATCAGACAACAACATCTGGGAAGCGCCCCACAGCCATCGGCAACCCGTTCTGCTCTGCCACAGAAGCAGAGTTAAAAGATACTGGGGAAAATCCAGTAGTAAATGGGTTGCGAAGGGCCACGGACGGACTTTCCCGTGTCTGATCGCTCCAGCGCGCTCTCGTGGCATCAGGAGGGTCTGATCAGGCCATCCCAACTCTGTGCCATTGTTTCCCCCCCCTTCACTGTATGTGCATCATTGCAAACTCCATAGGGAGCCCTTGGTGTGGAGGTGCAATTCATCGATCCCTCATTTAAGTGCATGGGGAAAAAATGGCACATCCAAAAAAAGACTCACCCGCAGTTGCGTCTGATCACACACTGACGGACTGTGCCTGCAGCTTCAAAGGGAGATGTGATCGTGCAACTGCGGGTCAAATTCCTCTGGAAGAAATAGCCTCACTTCCCCTCCCCCCCATTTTTTCTGAAGAAATAGCATCCCTCCCCCCCCCCCATTTTTTCTGGCTCGTGTGACCGCAACCTAAATAGTCTAATCATGCCATTGTTATGTCTAACAGCCTAGTCTATCTGTTATTCACACCCCTACACTGTTATTACAAACTGAGAGACAGATATTGCCTAGGGTTGTCAACCTACCGGTGGGGCCTGGAGACCTCCCAGAATTACAACTGATCTTCAGACTATATAGATTGTTTCCCTGGAGAAAAAAGCTGCTTGAGGGTGGATTCTATGGAATTATACCTTGTTGAGGTCCCTCTCCTCCCCAAACACTGCCGTCCACAGGCTCCACCCCAAAATCTCCAGGTATTTCCTAATCAGGAGTTGGCAACCCTAGTATTATCCCATGTTTCTCTCTCTCTCTCTCTCTCTCTCTCTCTCTCTCGTGAATGGCTACTTTTTTGTTGTTCTGAGTTGCACTGAACTCTGTTAACATCCATTAATAATAATGAAATTATGGAAAATTCAGAATTGTATAACGTTTCAGAGTTGAGATTAGAGTTTTGAAGGGCAAATATTTTCAAATTTTGCTTTCAAAATTCAACTTTGTAAAATGGTTAGAGAAAGCCCAGCCATGGTTCAGCACTTTTAATTACATTCATTGAGAGTGTTAAATATGTTCTTAATTCTCTTCCCTTGATATGGTGCTCTTAAGTCCCTTTGTGAACAAAGGTAATAACATAAGCATCAACTTGCCAAGTAAAGCACTGTAAAAGTGGTTTGTTTTTTAATTTCTCTAGAGCCCCCAGTTCTGGCCTACATATGTTACCACTGTACTAAACAGGATCAGGGGGCAACCAGTGCAAAATGTTTTTAGTTGTAGATTTTCCAGGCTGTATGGCTGTGGTCTTGGCATTGTAGGACCTGACGTTTTGCCAGCAGCTGTGACTGGCATCCTCAGAGGTATAACATGGAACGATGGAGTACTCTCTGTGTCAAAATGCTTTTGTTTTTAATTATCACCCTGTATGATCTTTACAGTGCTTGTGTACAAACAGGTTAAGTCAAAACCTATTCCATTTTGAGTGGGATACTCACTACTGGTACTGGAGCCCCAAGCAGGTCCAGCTATGTTTCTTAATGAAAGCACAGGAGCTTCAAGTTTGGTCTCCCCAGAGACTCTAGGCAAACCTAGATTCTGGATAAGAGCTTGCTTACTTTTAAATTCAAGTGATCAGCCCAGTGCCCAATAACTTTGTACTCAGGTGTGGCATTCTTGATCTGGTACTGATAGATGTCATAGCGGCCTGGGGCATCTCCATTCTCGTTGAACGTCACAGGGGTCCCAGCAATTCCTGTAAGGCAGAAAGCATTTTTGTTGGAGAAAGAAAAGCACTGCTGGCTTGGGCTGTGTGTCTGATCTTCCAAGGAAGTTCTCTCGTTCTCTTTCTCCCTCTCTCTCTTGTATAGAATCAGTGGGAAACCTGAATGCAGTCGTAAGCCAATGTTAAGTCCTACTGATTTCAGTGGTTAAGCATCGAAGACCAGGTATTTAAAAACTCTCCTACTAAAATCAACAAGACTTAAACATGCTTAACTGAATCATACCCCAATGGGGCAAAGTTGTTCAGTGCCTACTTTATGTGACCAGTAAATGCAGCTTCTCAGTAACTGAAGTTGGGTGAGTAAACTAGCCTTGCAGAATTGCCCACGTGGGACACTGAACTCACCCTTCCAGTTTGTTTTAGGGGGAATAGACAAAGGCAGAGAAAGAAAGAGACTCAGCTGCTGTATACACAAACGTTTCCATTAAAGAAACAGGGCCAGATCTGCATGTCAGATGGCTTCCCCTCTATTGAATGCAAAATGGCAACTGCTGAGCAACTGAATTGGGTTAGCTGTACTGCAGTGAGAATCTAGTCCACAATTTCTGATACTGTTATTTCTTTGCCATGAGCAAGCAAAACAAAAACAAAAACGAGCTTTGATCTTACATTCCTGTATTGCAAGCATTGATCCTCCTAACTGTTGTGATAATACATAGAATTAAATATTTGTGCTGAGCTAGAGACCAGAAGCCCACCAGGTTAGGTGCTGTTCAGTCTAAGAAGAGAAAAACCATTGGTGAGCATGAGGCCTGAATGGTCCTTATATTAATTCAGCTCCAAAACCCAATATTAAAACCTACTTTGGCTACAGTATATATTCACACACCCCACATTCTCTCTGACGTTAACATTCATAAGTGGCACATAATAGGTGAGAAGGGCTGAAATGGGCTTTTTGGTGACATGTATGAAGAGCACACACAGATCTCTGCATACAAAACGAGAGACATCAGATACAGTGATCATAAATCTAAACTTAAATTGTAACAGTTAAAATTTTAGGCACCAACCGTGTGAACTTGGTGAAGTTTCTTTTAGGCAGCAGAACAAAGGAAAAAGAGGTTCATGGCAGGCTTACATAAGGTATTAGGGACAAACTACAAAAGGGACAGAGAGAAGGACTTTCCCTTCTCATTCGCCCAATCAGCTCCAAAAGACACTAGGCAGCCCTCCTTCCCTCTCCCTCCTAATCTGCCTGCATATTGTTATACCTCTGCTGGATGTCCAAGCAGATGCATTCTGAAACCACTTGAGCAATGAGTCCATACATGCTGACACTACATCATAATGCTGCATCATTCATTCACCAAGAGCGGTAATTCCTGCTCAGTATTCAACCACAGTGCTTGCAATGGAAAATAACAACACATTTATATAGAGCCAGGAAAACGTGCATTTCATGAAAGTTGCAAGGCTGGAGGCAGGCTGAGCACAGAGCAGGGCCTGAGACTGATGCTGCTGTGTCACTTTTTGGTTCTCCTCTGTGTATGACTGAACCTCCCTTTCCCACCCCACAGTGGGCATCCAGGAGGCCAGGTGCTCTTCCCACAGACCTGGGAAAGCATTATTCAGTCCTCCCTCCCTCCCTCCCTCCCTCTCTCCCTCCCCTCCCCCCTCTCTCCCATTTTGATCCTGCCTTTCCTTCAAAGAGATCAGGTCAGCGTGGGGCTGATTAGGACTGGGTCTTCACAGCGTTTTAAAATCATCTTTAATAAATGGTATAGTGGTTAAGAGTAGCAGTCTGGAGAGCTGTGTTTGATTCCCCACTCCTCCACATGAAGCTTGCTGGGCCAGTCACAGTTCTCACAGAAGTCTCTCAGCCCCACCTACCTCACAAGGTGGCTGTTGTGGGGAAGGGAAGGTGATTGTAAGCTGCTTTGAGGCTCCTTAGGGTAGAGAAAAATGGGGTACAAAACAACTGTTCTTCTTCTGTCATGTTTAGGCTGGCCCTTAAGCTTAAGGTTGCTACCTTTTTCTGGTCCTATCTGTAGCAGCCCTGAGATAACAAAATAACAGCTGAGGGATGCACATGAAACTAACTTACACTGAATGGTGCATCAAGGTCAGTATTGTCTACTCAGACTGGCAGCGGCTCTCCAGGATCTCAGGCAGAGGTCTTCCACATCACCTGTTACCTGATCCTTTGATATCTGATGAAAGGAGTTTTGACTCTAGAAAGTTTATACCCCCAAAATCTTGATGATCTCTAAGGTGCTAACTAGAGTCAAGTCTAGCTGTCCTACTTGATCTTTTTAACTGAAGATGCCAGGGATTGGACCTGGGACCTTCTGAAAGCAGATGTTCAATCACAGGGCCACAGCCCTTCCACCATGAAGATCAAATGATAAGGAAAGCATTGTCTATAAATGTCTTTATGGCAGGACACTTGAGACAGAGAAGCAAATCCAGAAAAAAAGGTAATGACCTTAGCTAAGGTACGTCATGTGACTTATGTGTGAAAATATATATCGGCCCTGGACAATCTGTGACACATCAAGTCAAATACCAGCTATTTTCAACAGCCCTCCAGGAATGTAATAGCTAAACTGCTGAGGAAGTATCGCAGGGCTTGAAACCCTCCCCCATAACACTAGAATGGGGATGCCCAGTGTGGTGTACTTTGGTATCATAGCACCTTCTGACATCTTTTCTGATGCCCACTGAGTGTTTTTAGAAAGTGGGTGGGCACTTTCTGCCAAGACTTCTGATTGGTCATTGGAGACTTGATTGACTGTGCAGATTTTTTAAAATATTGCTTTGGCAGCAGTTGCCACCACAGTAAAAGGTTCTTCTCTGTGTCACTGAAGGTAAGCCAAGGCAGCCATTTTATAGCTGTCTCTGCTCCTTGCTGCACCCATTTTGTGCCTGTGCTCACCACACTGTGTGAGAATTCCAAAGGTGCTTGCAGGCTCAAAAAGGTTGGAGACCCCTGTACTAGAACACTGGGCCACCAGATTCAATTGACAGGTAGTTAAGGCTGCCATTTCTGTGTTGAGAAATACTTGGTCATTCTGGGGGATCACCCTGGGGAGGGCGGGGTTTGAGTAGGGGAGAGACCTCAGTGGGGTATAATGCCACAGAGTCTATACTCCAAAGCAGCCATTTCCAGGGGAATTGATTGCTGGAGACTGGTTGTAAGCCCAGGAGATCCAAAGCCACCACCTGGAGACTGGCAACCCTACAGGCAGTAGATTCAGGGCAGACAAAAGAAAACCCTTTTTTCAGGCAACACTTAACCATTGCATTTGCTGCTGCCATTAACTTCAGATGACTTTTAAGATGGATTAGACAAATTCATGTGATTAGGTCTGTTGACAGCTATGAGCCAAGATAGCTAAATGGAACCTTGGTCTGATCCAGCATGGGTCTTATTATGTTCTTAAACTACCTATGTTTCCTGCCTGCCTGCCGTTGCCAAAAGAGGAGGAAAGGGCATCAAGCACCTGATAGGCTTGGGGATACCTTTGGTGGATCAAAAGTTATGGAGGCCTGTGCTGCTAAGGTTGCCACCCTTTTTAACTGCCTCCCCCCCACACACACACACACCACAGGCCTGTGCTGCTAAGGTTGCCACCATTTTAACTGCCTCCCCCCCCACACACACACACCACGTTAAAGCTGTGTTCCTGCAGAGTGCAGGGGGTTGGACTAGATGACCTGCAAGGTCCCTTCCAGCTCTAACACTTTATGATTCTGTGATTCTAAAAAGAGATGTGGCCTTCAGGGATCAGTAAGTGAAGCTTTTTAGCACAGGGAGTTAAAGTCCTATGCAGAACAAGCTACTGCTAAAAGCACAACTACGGTTTTAAAAGATGGAAGTCCTACCTTTTGAATATGCTCAAGGACCTCCCTGTAACAATCCTGACAGTAAGCCTGGCCAGCAGCTGCAGGATGGAACACAGATCTGCATTGTTTAATCCCCTGCACAGTTTCAGGCAAAGGATCAGAGGTTGTGCTCAGCAGAGACCTCTCTGCCAACATCTACGGTCCACAGTCAGTGGCAGGCAGTCCTGAGTGAGGAGAAGAGGAGGCCAGCTGCTCTCTCCATGCTCTGTTAGGCTGACCTGCTCCCCACAACACCAGCAGCAGCCACAGGCAGACCCAGGCAGGTTTAAAGGCAAGCTGAGAGGCAGGACAGCTGCCTTTCCCCATTCCAGTTGTGAATGCCTTGCAGACAACTCATTACACTTGATGTACACAGAGAATTATTAGCATTGACATCCCTGCCACTCATGTGCACAGGGGACAGTCACAGAGGACTGCTGAGGGATGCAGCCTGGGAGGGAGAGGGAGTGGGGAGCAGGACACGGCTCTTAACAGCAATCAGTACCTGGTCAGGCATTTGCACCAGCTGCTCAGTGCCCAGAAATGAGTGGGCAGACATTGGGGACAGCTTAATTTGTCCCCTCCCCCTTAGGCTGTGTTAGAGAGTTCTCTGTCCCTCTGCCTGGGCTGGCAGGCACACACACACACACAAAAGCAATGCAAACAGGGTTACGCTATTCTTAGGACTGCACCAAATAGACTCAAAGTGTGCTGGAATCTTTCTAAAATTGATGGCATGAAACAAACTGGCTTTCCCTTCCCTCTCCTGTATTTATCCTCCTCCGAAGGAGAACAGAGTTAAAGTTATCTAGCCTTGAGGACAATCCCACCCACTTGGATAGCCTTGAGGACAATCCCACCCACCCAGAAAACAGGGGCCTATATTTCCCTCACTGAATGAGAAGATGGGAAGTAGGAAGAGACCCCCGGTAGGATTTTAACATTCTGGATCTTGATAGCTCTTTCCAAAACTTGCCCATATATGAGTGGGACTTGGAATGTATAAGCAACAGCTGGAAAATCGGACACAGGCATCCCATAGAGCTCTCTGATATGTTTCTTGTGTTTGTCACTTGTACAACCTTCATATCACAGTGCTAGACTATCTGCAGTTTGATCTCAGTGGGCTTCTCTACAGCAACAAAATCTAGCCTTCTGACACCGTCTTTTAAAAAGCTGTCTACATTTGGTGTCATTTTCACACCTCAACAGTGCTAGCATACTTTTGCACATCTGCATATGTTTACTGCCCTTTCGTGGCAGCTCCACTGTCATTGCACCTCTGCACTGCTTTAAAAGAATCTTCTCCAAACAACATTCAAACAAGCATAGAGAAAGATGGCATCACAGCAGCACGAAACTGATTTAAAAATGCAAATGCAGATTCGACCATAGTGAGGTCACATCTCACAAAGTTGCACCCTTGCCATTTTTCATGGATTTTCCAAGAAATGGTCAATTGAAGTCTCTCTACATAGCAAAACACCTAGAATATATCCACACCATAATAAAACTGAAGGGAGCGAAGTTCATAAGATGAAAAAAAAAATCAAATCAGTACTAAGAGGTATCCTAAAGCACAAACCATTTTAAAGTCAGGCCAGCTAAGATAATAAACCCCATTGGCAGACTACAAAGGACTGATCTGGCATACTATAGAAAGGTTTAAATGCCAACAGAATGTATTTATCCAGAGAGGGATGTGATCAGATGAGAAGTATTACAAAATCTTTAATTACAGTGATTTATTTAGCAAGTCGCCTCAAACCAAGGCTTTTTGCTGTTTCCCCCAAAAAAGTTTATCTTAAAACAAATTCAAACGAATTGCATAAATAAATCCCAATAACAGAAGAAAGCAAGAAAATCAAACAACATGATAGGGAAGGAATAAATAAGAGAGACAGATTGTGAGGAGATTGCAGAGGGGAGATAAATAGATGTAATAAGAAAGAAGGAACAGAAAATGTATATTAAAGAGATATAATGTGAGGAAATGATGAGTTTCTAGAAGATGTTAAAGAATCACTAATCAGGGGAGAGGGAATATAGTCTGCTAAAAAGGAGCAAAAATGGAAGGGGAGCATGGAAATGTACAATATTAAAAAGGGGATTGTGGCTAGTTTGGTTCTGGCTTGTCCAGGTCCTCTCTGGGCAGGGCTAGAGAATCATGGGTGCCTAGTCAACTATGTATTATTTAAATCACACAAAAATGTATTTGTAATTCCAATTTTGTGCATGGATTGGTTTATTCAGAAGGTCCAGCGAAGTCTGAGATATTTCCTCTCAGAGATGGGGAGAAGAAATGAGCAATTACATTAAATTCAGGTTTATTCATTTAACCTGGTAGAGGATGGACCTCCATGGGGCTCCAATGACACACTATGACTGCGTAATCCTCCCTGTGGAAACTGTTATCTAGCCTTGAGGACAATCCCACCCACTTGGACAGACCTGAGAAATTGACGCTGCGGATGTACTTGAGCAGCTCTGCACCATCTACTGGGTCCATCTTGGGGCAGAGGCCAACCTTTCCAGAGCACAAGTTCTTGTGCATGTTGTGCAGTGCATGGCCCATGGCATAGACAGCATCGATGACAAACTGCACCTTCCCCTCCTGCTCATAGGCAGAGTCCTGGCCAATCCGCTCACGATCTGCAACAAAAAAAGACACAGTGCCAGGTTCTGTAACATGTTTCTGATGGAAGTTGTAGTCCTAGCCAGGGTTATCTACTTTATCATACTGACTGTAAGATTTCAATTTCTTCAAAATTTCAAAATTATACCACTGTCAGGGTGACATTTAGAAAGCTTTCTGTCCCTCTTGCAAGTCAGCAACTGACCTTCATTGAACAACTGAGCCCCCTGTTTTCTGGTGACAGACTGCTCTGGATAAGAACATAAGAACAAAAGAGACGCCAATGTTGGATCAGACCAAAGGCCCATCCAGTCCAACACTCTGTGTCACACAGTGGCCAGAAATACCAGTGCCATCAGGATGTCCAGCAATGGGGCCAGGACATTAGAAGCCCTCCCACTGTTGACCCCCCCAAGCACCAAGAAGACAGAGCATCACTTGCCCCAGAGCCCCTATTAGCCTATCTATACCTTGTGGCTAATAGCCACTGATGGACCTCTGCTCCATAT